CAGAAGAGTCTAGAGAGTCCCAGTCCAGTCCAGCAAGTACCACAGGGGGACTGTGAGCACCAAGGGACGATGGCAAAGGGCAGACCAACGAGTTTCTGAAGTATAAATCAAGAGGCAGCGCCCAGCCATTCATTCATTCCTGCGGGGAACCATGCGGAAGCGCTGCTCTACAGATGAGCCCGGAGGACGCAGTGGGCTAGAGAGAGAGGAAGTTAGTATAGCACTAGGGTTAGATGCAGTGACAGCTGCCATAGCTGTAATTAGCAGTGAGTGGGTGTGTAAGTGTTGGAGTGTTAGAGGGATGCGTGTGGGATATCCAGGGTGATCCAGTGTAYGTGAACAGTGAGTTGTTTGGGCGCTGAAGTCGCCATAACTGATTGAGAGTGAACTCATATCTGAAGCCATATCTCTGAGTCTTGTGTGGGCGCATGTCGCCAGTATGCTGCGTTGCTGTTTACATGCATGAAAAGTGTGTTTGAAAACGAGTATGATTGCATTAACGTGTTCTCTGACGTCAAAATCATTTGGTTGCAGACAGTCGGGGCCACCTATCGTAAATACCAGATAACAAGGGATCTGGTGAGCCTGATGATGCCTTGCAAATTCTGTGAAATCAGGATACGGGTCTACTGCAAAAGCACCCATCCGAGAGTGGTGAGTAGGGTGCTCCGCTGTGCCCCTATTGAGATGCCTCATCCTACAATCGAAAAGAAGATGGTTATGTGTGTGTACGTCCAATACTATGCAAGTCGAGGACCCTGAGTATCTCGGTGGGTGCTCATGAGTGGCTGTAATGTATATCATTGCATATATTGGGTATCCATGTGAATGCGCCTGTGAATATGGCCCGTGTTCCACTACACAACACTCTACGTGCATCTGTATGTCTTCTGGACCAGGTGCATTTGGATGCGTGCAACATTTTCCCAAAACCGCCCGATTGCGAGTGGAGTCTAGTATAGTGGAGTGCGGCCCAAGGTGGGGTTGCCATGACCCGCTCGCCTCTCCTCTCGATTAAATCAGGCAGAGGGTAT